CCTCAGCAGACAGACGTTTCCTTAGCAGCACGGAACCTGCAAATGTACAAACTGTACGATGATATTATTGGATGCATTATTGGAAATTAGAACTAGAGGTCGACAGGTTAGACCGTGTCAGTGTTGTCCCGTTATGACATTAATGACAGTGCTGTTCTCTACATCCAGACTTATACTGTAATACAAGTATTGATCATGTATTTTTTAAACTTAATTTTGCACTAAATCATTTTCATACATTATATATTTACTGTATATATATATATATATACATTATTATACATACATTACATTATATTATATTGCTAGTGTTTATATGGGGTTGTGAGGTCATGTTGCGTGATAACCATTATTCATCCTACTACTTCACTTTAAACATTCTGCGTATGTTGCATTTTTTTACAGCGTCATCAACTAATGTAAAAGGAGTGCAGCAGGGCGGGGCTGAAAGGAGTTCCGAGGGAGTGTCCGTGCATGTCGGCCGTGCTGATGGGGGCAATCTAGTTGTATTACGAGCTGTGGAGAGACCAACTGGGTTGTTAACAGGTCTCCATGTGGATTGTGTGAAGAGCAGAGAAGAGGCCGGCCTCTGGAGCCTCCTCCACCCCACACATGGCCTTCAATTAAACAATTAGAGGCCAAGGCGGCACTAATTGGAAACATGGCCGGTGCTCCTGCACAAGGGCCTCTGCTACATCAACAACCCTTCAGCTACTGTGCTATATGCCCTTGATTTGAACTCCATCATCTCCATTACTCTCCGTCTCAACACACCCCCAACTACTCCCACCAAACCCTGATCTAATTGCAGCGATCCATATGGACAGTGAGGAAAACTGCAGTCTTTGCAAACATGGCTGTATTTCCCGTTGATAACGTGTCATTTTATTATGGGCTGAGTTACCATAATCCAGGAATAAGACTGTGGATCACACTGTACCAATATCAATGTGTGTGTATGTGTGTGTGTACATTCACGTTCTGCAGCACCCTGGGTGCAGCCTTCCTGGTGTGTGTTAGACAGAATTCCCCGCTTTGCGACCACAAATATTATTAACAGCCCATTTAAACAGCCATAGTAAATCCAAACAGGAATGTCGCAGGGAAGTTCTGTGATGTGTTCCACCCAACAGTCACAGTGAAGAAAATGACAAAGCACCGTGTCACAGAGGAATGCGGGGCATGTTGTAGCCAGTCACCCAGGTCAAACTCCTGACCGCAGGCCAGTTTTATGGTTTTTGCTGACAGCTGCTTTTGATAGTGTAATCGTGACAATGATCTCATTCTCTCCCTCTCTCTCCCTTCTCTCAAGGAGCTTTGTGCTCAGCCCTTTTCTGAGCGATTGGCTGTCAACAGGAAGAGGTGGGGGCGCACAATTCATTAGCTTTCAATTCATATTGAATTTATTAATCCCATGCTGGTTCTGCTGGGCGGAGGGCCACTTAAGGGGGTGGGGGGGGCAATATCTTTCGATACACACACACCTTTTTCTCCATCTGCTTACAATGTGTGCACAAAAATTAATGAATGAGGGTTAGGGAAGGGTGGATGGTGGAAGGGGGCAAAGGAACCAAGAAGGCGGGAAGGGAGAGAGGAGGGAGTAACAACGGCAGCCTAACAACAAGGGCTTTTAAAAGACTGCTGCAGTGAAAAGTATGTCAGATCATTTACCAGCAGGGATGCACGACTTTATCTTTTTTAAGGCACCAATCCTGCAGAAAGACTCTTGTCTAGTCAGCACTGCAACACGGGCACAGCTATGGCTTTATGTGAGTGTCTGGAATGTTTCTGCGTGCACAGGGGCAGCATAGAAAACCTAAGCCTCCGCTCCATCCAGGGGATACCACAGGGTTCACCCCGGCCACACCTCGGCCGCATAAAAGAAGCGTATTTTTGCAGCAGCCGAGCTGAAAAATACTTTTTTCAGGACAGAAGTGATTCATCAGAAGTGCAGCTCTCTGCCCTTTCTGTGTCTGAATAACTTGTCTCACACTGGTCTCTCTGAGGAATCACACTTGTCCTGCAACAAAGCGAAGGCTTTTGTGATTGTTGACAAATTTAACATTTCTTTTACGTGTATCCCTGTTAGAAACAAGGCCAAGCAATCAACTTTAGACCTGAGCAGCGGCTTTAAAGGTGTTTAATTTTTCTCTTTATATCAATTGCATATATTTATAAACCATATACACGCTAACTGTCTCATTAAACTGATTAATATTTACAGCAACAGCTAATTAACTTTGAGAACCTTACTTTAATGCATTCATTTATATTCAGTGGATTGTCTGTTTCCAGACAACTCAAAGGAATCAACTCCATTTTAACAGCAGACATTGGAGGACAAGAGAGGAAAACATATATATATATATATGTATATATATATATATCTGTGAGCTTTAACATGGGGCTGGAGAATGGCTACTTTATTTGAACATGGCACGCTCGTTGACCTCTTATAGCTCTTCCTACTCTGTAGAGGCCAAGAGGGGGATATTACCACTTAGCCTCTATAAACACCGGTTACACTGTTGAACTATGGACCTCTGAGTTGGGCTTTAAACCGGTGGAAGCTTCAGTTTACCACTAAAGGAAAATCCTGTTCAGCCTGTGTGGTCAATTTTATTGATTCACAAAAGGATTTTCAAATATGCCACATGACTCTCGTGATCTCTCTGCAGCACGAAGTTGGAACAACAACAAGTGGGAATGTCAATGGCCCTGCATATACTTTTCAGAACAAACACAGCATTATACATTTAGGCCATAATAAACATGTTCCCCGATTAACATTTAAATAATACAAACAACTATGAAATGTCTGGTTTAGCTACCATTTGTGCCAAGATTGAGTAATGGTGAAAAAGTATTTAAATAAAATACATTTTTAATGCATAAGTGTTTGGTAAAGCTCTTCTTAAATTACTAGAACAATGCTCTTCTTACCTATTATTTTGAGATGATGTTGTTGCTCCCCAGGCTACCACACCTTTATGAATCCATTATGATTTCAGGAAGAGCCAGTTGTTTTCTGGCCTGGTGCCCAGCTGTCACCACCAACTTTATGCTTCGTGCTTTACTCGAGCTCTTTGAATGAATCAACACTGGGAAATGATTCGATGCAAATCCAAGGGACAGAAAAAAAATCAAACTTTTTATGAACTGTTATGTAGGTAATTCTAATTAATGTGTATACAACTGAATAATTACACTCTATTCAAATGGAACAATAAAAGGTGGAATAACAAGTAGTGTGGCATAACAAAACTTAAGTATTTTCCCGATAAATGAAAGTGATACTTGTTAATGGAAAATTGTTTCACTAGAAGAGTAATTTAATCTCAAAGTTGAATTCACGGACCAGTCCACTACTAGTCCACCTGGTACCATTCACTTAAAATACAAATTATTACTATTTATTACTAACCTCTGCAGTGAAATTATGAATGAGTTAAATTGTGTTTTAAATAGATAACCACAATGCAGTGATATCCAATATTCTTTGTGAATAAGTTATTTGATTTATATGTTAAAATACAATTATTTGTTTTGAAAAAACTACAGTTGACATCTGCATTGATTCTGCTTATAACAACTGCAGAATTTGTGCAAAAACAAAAAACAAACAAAAACAAACAAAAAACTAAACAATCTAAAACTTTATAATGTAGTGTTAATGCAAGCCCAACATAAATCAGTTGAGACTAAGCTGCAGCACATTGCACTGAACACACAAAGAGAGAGAAAAAATTGTTTGTCACATTTCCTTTAAATGTTGCAACAGAAAATTAAGCCTTTTGGTTTGGACCATCACCATCTTGGATGCTGTTTGTACAAGTTAAGAGATGCAATTCCCAGTAGTGCAGTATTTTACAGTGTTTCTGTAAATCTAACAAGGCGTGGGGCTGTTTTCATTGTAAAAGCAAATTTGTTCAATTTAATAATTTATCACATCTTATTTAAATCAAAACTTACCATCGGAAAAGTGCACTGTAACCAAACTTTGAAATATAATGTGTCATGTTATTGACAACACACTGCATATGAATTGAGGATAACACCAATTTAAAAAGAAAGCTTTTAAAAATGTTGAATATTTACACTGAATGATTTGTTCCTCCAAATTTTGATGACACAATTCTCTGTGGCTGTTGTGTTCCTAACTGTCCTCCCTAGACAGTTAAAGCACGGTCCAATATTTATGCAGCGCTTCAAAAATGCAACAGTGCATAAATATTGTACAACAGTGCATAAAAACAAAGTCAGCCTAACAGATTTATATGATAAACAATTGTTGTTACTGACGGGATATGATCAGTCAATACTGCAACAATCGTGTCTACATCTCCTGTGTAAAAAAGTTGCACTTTAACAAGAAAAAAAAAATCAAACTTCTTTTTGCTTGCAGTCCTGCATTTTATAAACATTTTATTTTGAGCTTTATTTTTGTTTCACTGAGTAGAAGTGAAGCTCGGTGAGTGTGTTTGATTTGAAATAAAGAGAAAACAAAAGGAGGATTCCGTTCATGGTGGTTTAACATTTCACTTGCAAGTGCAACATCACATGCGCTAGGTGGTGCACTGTAAGTGAGCAAGTTTATAAGAGATGATCATTAGTAACAAAATCTGTTGCTCAGTAGCGCCACTTGCGCTTGGCCCAGCGGCAATACCTATACGTCTTGTGTTATTACAGCCCTCATGACCACGACAGTATAAAGTTCACAGTATTAAATATCGGAAATAAAACATACTTCTGTCAAAATAAATGTTAACAAAAAAAACTTGTTGCAGAAACCGTCATTTGAGCCTAAAATAGTGATTAAAAACAACATTTAGATCAGGATTTTAAATATGGAGATACACTTGGTAATTCACTTTCAATAAATTGTGATTGCCAATCAAAATCGTCAAGTAGAATTTGTGTGCTTTTATTGTTGCGGAAGCGCTGTCTGCTGTCTACTGTGTGTCTGTCTTACGTACGCGAGCTTGGTAAAGCTTTGACCACGATTGAGCCAATAGGCTGTGGAAGGCAGAGTTGTCCCTGTGGCCGCCATTAAAGAAAGGAATCCATGAATTCAAATGGAAACCAACAGGAACCGAGGCTGAAAAAAATGATCGATATAATCGTGAAATTATAGGCCGATGCCGGATTTCGAGTGGGTTTTACAGGATGTATTTGGATTTTAGACCGGATTGTGCGGTGAAGGAGTGAGACAGGGCATTTTTGTTTTTTTTAAGTAGAGACCGTTTTAGGGGTAAGGGGGAGGGGGAGAGTTGCTTCTTTGCTCTCCTTTTTCTTTTTGTTTTATGAACATTTGACGCTTAACTCAACATGTTCTTACTGTGTGCTTTTAAGATGTTATAAAGAGTGCACTATTTCTTTTATCCGCTTTTAGGTCCGGCTAGGGGAAGTGCAATCGGAAGGTTGTTGAATTAACTATCCTCCAGCCAAATGTTACAAAAATAATTTCTCGTTTGATTAAGCCTGGACAGATTAGAAAACAGAAATCCGCGAATTGTTCTTTATTTCCCGGGACGTGAAATGATGGAGAGTTCGATCTCGCAGTGAAGAAGGATGAGTTCTTGTTTTGTACCAAACGGGGCCAGCTTGGAGGATTGCCATTCCAATCTATTCTGTCTGGTAAGAGATTTAAAACTAAAGGAAAGCAGCCATTTTTAACTAGCTGAGCAGGGGCTAAGCTAACGTTAGCCATCAGTTGATAGTAGCTGAACAGAGGCTTACGGCCTGTCGAGCTTACATTCAGGACTGTTTTACTTACGTTGCATTGTAAAGTCACTCTGTTATTAAAGTGTAATGACATTTTTACAGACACTGTAAAAGCATTTCTAGTTTGTTTTGTTTTCAACGTGTAAACAATCAACTCGCTTCGCTTTGTCACACAGCACAGCGAGACCAGCACATCTCCTTTAAAAAGGGAAACAAGTATTTTATTTTTAAAAGCCGGGCTGTGTTTTGCAGGAAATTTGTAGTTGTACCACTTTCTTCAGTTCCCTGCAACGTCTCGTTTATTATTAACTCACTATCAGCACTTCTAGTCACGTTTCAACTATGTTTGTATCAAGTGATAAGTGACAATAAAACACCATAAACACACGACTTCGCAGCCTTAACTTACATCACTGACAGCCGGCTATATGTTGCGGTCTAACTCGTACTCGTTTTGCCCAGACAGCTATTTATGGTTGCCAACGTTGGTATACGATTGTTTTTGTATGTGACCAAAGTTTTTTCGCAAGAGCAAATGTGTTGTTAACCTGTCAGTCAATGATTAGACTTCCTTTTGTTTGCACCAAGAACGTTTACTTATATAATGTAGTATATTTGCATGCATGCATGCATGCATTCTTTCTTTCTTATTGCAACTTGGAATAATGCAAATCTTAGCTACAGTCACTGTTACTAAAGGCTACAGATTGGATTGTGTTTGCAGGGTCGTTGGTCTAGTAGTATCTCTTTCATCATCATGTTGTCAATTGTGGGCAGAACAGATTACTCGTTATACTTGTGGTCCTGCAGACCACTTGAAGTTCATAGGTATTTTTCAAATCTATTTTTAGTTCCAACACCACAGTGAGTGTTTAGTTTTTGCCACCATAGCAAATGGCCAGGCTCAAATGTAAAGTCAGTCCTCTGGCCAGATAATTAACAGAATTGTCAGTTTGTGATTGTTGTTGCAGTTACAGGACTTGTCAGTGTGCTAAGCAAAAGTTTAACCTGTAGTTTATCCAGTGCTATTACAGAGAATTCACACACTCTCAGTACTATGTTTAAGTTTGATTGTATGTGCAGAATTCATAATTACAATGTTCATGACAGCATTAGCAGGCAGAGTAAGCTACAGTGGACAGGGGAGGTGGAGGCTGGTAGTTGTGGTGCTCTGCCTGTCTGGCTGACATTTTCCTGCACAGTAAGACTAAGCATAACACTATTGCTGTTATGACTCACTCACTGAACAGACTCCACTTTGTGGTTTTATGGTGAAAGAATGTGAACACATTGTGGCACTTTTCCCCTTCATTTTCCAGCTAATAGTTCTCTCTGGAGTACTACTTGTTGCATATCTTTGTACATTATACCTTAGACCATTTTGAATTAACTTGGAGTGTAAATTTAGGTTATGTGCTCGTATAATGTTATGCACATATGTGGCTGTGGTGAAGTTTGTAGTTTTTGGCTAGTTCAAGTGTTAGTGTGAGTTCCAATTTTTTTAATAGCACGAGCTAAAGCTTGTCTGTTTTCTGCTGACACTGTTTAATGAGTTAGTCAGAACTTTGTACAAATTAGGAGAGATTGAATCTGTTCAAAGTTCATTACTCTTACCCCTTAAATTCTAACAGGAACTGTACCTTTAATGATTGCTCCATGGTAGGGTTAACTGAGGGATTGCTCAGTTGCAGTAAAGTGACAGAGTTGGTAGAGACGTGTCTGTGATATGATTTGAGCAGCTTCACCTGTTGCTGGTCCTAAATGGAGGAAAGACAGCTGTTTGAACACAGTGTTCCCTACTGACACCAAGAACCCCAATTGACCAAAGGGAAGGTGTGTGGCTGGCAAAACCAGGGGCTGTAAACTCCCCCACAAGCGCAAATCACCTCAGGAAGACATCTTGCCCATGTTTAGCTTTGCTCCCACAGCAGTAGTATAAATTTTGGCTCTGGCATATGAAAGATAAAACTTGTCATGACCCACATTGCTGGTCCTGCCAGGACATTTTATAAGCAGTTGTTCACATACTTTAACATTAACTCTAAGTACATGCAAAGCGAGAGCATGATGAAAATCTGCAGCAGTTCAGGGCTATATTGCTTGATTTGGTTTAAAAATACACATATGCTGGTATTTTTAGGATACCAAAAAATAAGAAAGACTGGCTTTGTTTATGCTAGAATATTTTGTGATATTTTTTCATAAAAATCTACAGATTGAAGATTTTTAGAAATGATGTCCCACAATGCAGAATATAGTCAGATTCACCAAGGTTGTCACATGACCCATTTCTCAGGGGGAAAAAACAAATGGCTCCAACCACCAGTGTAGAACACACATGCATAATTGACAACAAACTTGGCTAACTCTGATGTCTTTCCTAACAGACTGCAGAAGATCACTGAGAACAGAGAAAAGCTCATAGGACTATTATAGGCTAATTAGCATCTTAGGTGACATTTTAATCCCAAAGGATCATAGGTCAGAAGTCAGTGGATATACAGTATGTTTCAATGTGTAAAAGGGTCGTGCACTGGTACCTAGCCATTTATCTTGCATGAAGCATGTGGCATCAAAAAATGTTAGAGTGAAAAACCCACATTTGTAGTACACATTTTTTAAAAAGCCCACAGGGTAGACAATGACAAGCCAAAACAGCCAAAAACTAAAGGAAGACAATACCTGGAGTCCTACTAAAAATAGTCTTATTGTAACTGATTCTAAAGCACCAAGCCAGCTCTGCATGATTCAAGGGGAACCCACTGATTTAGTGTCAAAGTGAGTAGTTTTGTTGCATTCTGTATTTGTTTTCTTGTCAGTCGTGTCACTTTTTTGGCTCTGTTTATTCTCCACACATTGAAGGCCGGCGCACAAAAATTGGTACATGTTACAAGGACGTTTGAGAACCAGCAGCTGAAGGCACACAGCATGCAAGGGTTTCACAAATTAGGGGGAATTGACAGATATCCTTGGTACTTTTTTGCACACTGGCCTCCTCTAATTTATTTTGAAAGGACAGACAGAACAACTGCAGAGGGCACATTTACCCTTAATGGGGAGTCAAGTGCTGATGTCTCTAATCCTTGACAGAGCCTATTCAATTCTGTCTCTTCAAGCTCAGTATTTAAGACAGAAGGAAATGTTCATTTGTGTTAATGGGGTAAGCAATGGTGCGCAGTTTGCTTTACTTGATCGCATGCATCGTGTGCAGCATGTGAGTGAAAACAATCCTGATAACAACACCAGCAGCAATATGATGATATCACTGTTTATAGAATTTGAGCCTCATTCCTGAATTTAAAAAAAGCTGACTGCTTTGTGATATTGTGTTTAAGAGGTAGTCTTTAAATTCATATTTAAACTAAATGCAGGCTGTCTGCAGTCTGCTTCGGCTCCACAGCTGCTTTAAGTCCTCAGTTAAAGCGTGTCTGGACAGCTCCATGGTTGTCTGTTTAGGGTACGAACAATTTCCCAGCCTGTAAAGTGAAGTCAGTCTCCATGACTTATCAGGGTTCAGTTTGGGTCTAGTGTAATTTAACTTTGTCACTTTATCTACACAGTGTTGAGCTCATCATCCCGCTGGCATCATTATTGTTGTCGTTATATGTTCACCGACATCCAAACAATGCAGAAAAGAAAAGAGGGCTTTGGGTGTCACTACATGTTTTCCAGCTGCTCATTGCAAAGAGTCTACTTCAGAAGTTGTCAGTAGGTCCCAGCATATGTTTCTTGTACAGTTTTTAAGTATAAGTCATATACCTGAAGAGTAAGTTAAAATAAATAAAATATTACATGATTTTCTTAGAACACCAGTTTTTATGCTTCAGCTAAAAATGTTGTGCTGCATCAGTAACATTCTTCTGTTATCAAACAGGTTGGTCTTGATACTACAATTCATGGAAGCATGCTTAATATCAGGGTTAGTCAGCAGTTTCGTGTTATGTTAACCACTGAAATATAATTCCTGCATCACTGCTCGTGTTTAAAACGCTGAACCAAAATAGTTAAACCATAAATTGTCCTAAATATTAAGTAGAGATTAATTTATTGTTTCAACACAGTTTGATTTTTATGCAAATCTTTTAAGACTTGAAATGCTTGTTTTGCAGTCTGTTTAAAAAACCCAAACAGTTTAATAACATTTTAGTTCTTAATTAAAGATTTGGCCATATAATGACTTAATGACTACAAACGTCTTGAACTGCTGCAATGAGCCTTTAACATTGTGAAGAGATTTGCTCTCTGTATAAAAATGTGATCCTGGAGCTGCAGCATGTTTCCTTGCTTGTTATGGTCTTTTGAGTGGAGGCCTTGTCCCTGTCATGAACTTTTCTTTCTGTCATTAACTGTTTTTGTTTAACATCTTTGAAGCACTTATGTAAAGAAATGGAAACATTGTTTGCTTTTAGTGAGTCTGTAATATTCCAGTGTGTGTAATGTTGTTAATGCATGTTTTTGACAAACCATAAAACACTATAATCTGCAATCTCTTAATCAAGCCTGTTTATTTATTTATTTATATCAAGCTTCTTTCATGCTTTCCGCAGATTGAGACCAGATTGTGTTCTTTTTGAATGAGTCAGTGCGGTGGCAGGACAAGTTAATTGTTTGTATATTGTCACCTTTTGTTTTATTCATAATGTTGTTTAAAGGTTTAAATTGACAAAGTCTATAGTAACAGTTGACTAATGACACATTGTATCACAATCATCTTTCTACTTCATTATGTAATGCTTATTCCCCATCAATACCAATGATGTCTGGTAAAAGAAGCCCAGCGCTGGTATTTGAAACAACACTGTCAGTTGTTGATGGCATAGGGGATGCAATGCACAGAAGGAGACAAATAGTACAGTAACACAAAGGCGAGGGTTCATAGCTTCTGCTGCCGTAGGCTGTTGTTGGAGGCTCCTGTATTTCACTCATGTATGACTAGCACAGCAGCGTCATTCATTTACTTTAAAGTCTTAATACAGCTGCTAACTAGAGAAATAAACCAAGTGGGTGTTTGAATATCACATAATGTCATTGGTCAACTCACTTGTCCCTGTGAGATTAGCTGTACTGCATAATCGCATGTAACAGAAACGTGCATGTCAGTGAAGTGTCAGTTAAAATGTCAGATATTCATGTTTTTTTCTCAATTCCATATTTGAAGTACTTTTAGTGAAAATAATCATTCAACACAACACTTCTACCTTAGCAGTAAAAGAGTCATGAAGGTTTTATTGCAGCTGTTTAAATACTGTTCATTACCGGAGTCAGTTTCACAAAAGGATCACGGGTTAAAACCTTCCTCATTCATGTTAAATGGTCCTTTGTACAAGTTGACCTATAACACAGCCAATTTATTATTTATATAGGTTAGGAAACTTAAAAACGGCAAAACCATAACCCTCAGAAAGAGTAACGGACTCATTCATTCAAATAATAGTCGTGTACTTAAAACCAAAGTAGTATTCCCTGGTGACCAGCTTAATGCCTGGCTGCTGGCTGGCTGGTTGGCTGTGAGCAGCCCATAATCATGTCTAAAAGTGTGAAACCAGTATCTAGGAGGCAGATTGGCCTGTTATGAAGTCTATAGAGTCCTTTTAGAAAAACCTCTACCACAGTGAAACATGCAAAACCTCTGGAGACCGGACATGGTCAGAAATATGGTGGGGGTTGTTCCTTGTTGTAATTGCCCGTCCTCACTGCCTCTGATTCTGGTTTCACAGTTAACCGTTGTCACGACCCTCACTTTGAATTGTGTGCACAGATGTTTCTGAGTAAGATGCAGGTGTGATGTAGTGTTCGTCACACTCTAGCAAGAAGGAGAAGCCATGCTGCTGCTGCAGCTGCAGTGTGACACACAGACCCAGCTAGGTGTGCTGGTTTCACATAGGAATTTGTTCTCAGCATTTGTAACAGCTTTTAGGTTCGTTAGGAGACAGGTCGTTCATTTGATGCTTTGGCTGCTTTGTCTTCTGACAATGTTGTGATAACCTTAAAACCCACACATCCCACACCAGCTTCCATCGACTAAGTGTCAAGAACAGATTTAAAGTCAACAGTTGTTTGGTAACAAAACACACTTGACACTATTCAAGCCTTATTTTTTAATGAGTTGTTCATTTGTGTAGGGCTACTACATCTAACTCTATGCCAAATGAAGCTGTGTACTGAGTCTGCCCTGTGCCTACCTCCAACAATAACCACAATCACAAAATCACTCACAATACTTCCTGCCCATATGTGGCACTGCTGCTTTGCCGTTCACTCTTCATCCACACTCAGATTTAGGGCTCTCCAGATTTGCTATTTATATTGTAATAAAAGTTAAGTTAACTGTATTTATTGTTGTGAAGGCTTTCTGTAGTGCTGTAGGCATGTAAGTACGATGTGCCATATTTGACTTGTATTTTACATTCTAGTGTTCACCAACTATATTGGTGAAGGAGGAGGGTAGAAACCTTTGGGGCTGGACACTCACATACGATGAAAAGTCTAACATTATTTTTTGTTATATCCAGTCACAAGCCGGATTCAGTGTATTCTTGTCTAAGAGTCATTTAACATTTATCTGAATATGTTTGAGTGTAGCAAAACAACCCAAACAATCAGATGGTTAAAATGCCCTGAATTTAAAATGTGACCTAAATTTAACATTTCCTCTTTTTCTCTTTTGTTTCTGTAGCAACAATTTGTACACGCCTTTCCCTCCTACATCATTTCTGAACAAACATTTATAAAATCAGTTACTCTTGAGATACCGGTGCTTTGAAATTCTTTAAAGCACCACCAGGTGACAAACACCATCAAGGATGAATGCCAATTTACAGATGATTCTTGTATATTATTACAAGACAAACTTCTACTGGAAAAGGTATACATGGAATTCCTTTTATTGATGGCTCCCACTGTTCTATTTGAGAAAGCCAACAGGAAAAGAAACCGTAATTAGAAAGTATTCCTAAAAGTTTTGGAAGAACAACACAAATAACTTGCAGAAATATCTCCTTACTTTTTCATTATAAAGAGAAAAATACAGAAGTAATGTGGTTGGGTTTAGGTTAAGTTAAAATATGATGAAAATACGATGGAATATTGTTGTATTTGAAAGGGAAATAAAACATCAATGGTTTTATAAAATTAGAATCATATGTCATATCAATTACCCAATCACATTTTACTATTTTATAATTCTTTAATTCTCAGAAAATAAAAGCCTTCTATTTCAGTTTGACTGTACGCAAGTTGAAAACCACCCAAGCTTATATTCCTATGCAACTGATACTTAGATTTTTGCATAGATCAGGTGTGTGTATAGAGTTGGCAGTAATAATCTGCATATCATGAGTGGAAAAGTCATATATCTTCTACAGAGGGGGTATTTAAGTTCCACAGTTTGTTACTTCCTACGACTCTGCTGTTCAACACCATATATTTACTTTAATATTTATTGTGAAAATCAGGACTGCATATGTGTTTCTGATATGATGCTTTTTAAAATGTCCATACAATTAAGTGATCGGGTGCAGTTTGTCCATTATACAGCTTTGTTTACATGACATCTGATCTCACACTTGTTATATTAGAATTTAATTTGTGTTTGTTGTCACCTTTGAGTTATACTGTAGGGTTTTCACCCCATTTAATATGTGGTTGTTTACTCGGTTGTGTGACATGACATTTCTGGAGATGTAATTCCTCTAGTCTAGTCATTTCTGTAAACATTTGTTTTTCAGCATTGTTGAATCTGCCTTTTTCTTCATCAAGACAAAGTAGCCGTGTCTGTGAGGGAGTCATTTCACATCATCATGTTTACATTTGCGGGTCAAATTCATCTAGTATAAAACTATTTTTGAAAGGTCAGGTTTTGTGTGTCTCCGTTTTTGACTGGAGAGTGTGTGGGTTTGTTTCTGTTTTTCTTTTGGCCACAGCCTGTTATTCTGTATAGTTCTTGCAGCTGGTTCTCTTACACTAAGCCTGTTGGTGGGCTCGGCCCTCCGTCTGTCATCAGCTTGGCCACAAGAAATTAGTACTGCTAGGAACTCGGTGCAAGAAATAAGTACAATGGGATGTTTTCTAACACAGTTTGGATCGTTGTATCTGTTTAAAAAGGGATCTATATGTTATTATATGGTGACCTACAGCATCAGCGAAAATGGTTGGAAATACTGAGATTAAACAGTTGCCATCTTGAAATTGCTCTTATGGTTAATTCAGTTGTCTATGACAATTAAATGTTGCTAAGTAGTATTATACCTTAACCTTTTGGGCTATTTATTAATATTATTATTAATATTAGAAATGACAGTTACAGCAGGTTAAAAATTAACATATAATTATTACTTTTTCTTTTTATGAAGGTTCAATTAATGTACCTGAAACAGATTATATTATATTGTTATGGTAGATTTGTTTATTGGATAAACCTTGGATTGTATTGGATAAGGTTTTTGAAATATTTGATTTAGATTGGGACATGGTACGTAAATGTTCTAAAGCGTACAATAGGTGTTCGATTCCGGCTGTAGACTGGTTTATGGGGCCTCTTGGTTTCTTAGCTGTTCGACAACAGAAGAAGCTACAAACAGTGAAGTGTTATCAATTAACACTTTAGAACCCTGCCAGTGATTTACTGCCTATGAGGGGTTTTTCAGTATATTTTGTCATCTCTGAAAAAGCCACATGGTGTTCATCACAAGGCAACGTACACACATACCCACAGCACTCACCCATAATGAGGATTAAAGTGGCGAGACCTGCTTTACCAGCATTATTTTCACATTATGTATTGAGCACATTTTTTTTCACACTGAAGCACCTGAAGCGTAAGCATGTTAGTTGGCAGAAATACTAAAAAAACAATTTCAGAGTATAAAGAGAGACTGAGTACTAATTATATCGACGCTGCAGAATGTTGCATGAGAAGGTTGGTGATTCCTAAAGCAGCAACTCTTCTTACTTGACATTCTTTCTGCCCTTCTTCCTTGTACAGGCTGACTTGACTGGGATCAAATGGAAGAGGTTTGTGTGGCAGGGTCCCACCTCTGCACCCATCCTTTTCCCTGTGACGGAGGAAGATCCCATTCTATGCAGCTTCAGCCGCTGCCTGAAGGCCGATGTGCTGAGTGTATGGCGGCGGAGTCAGCGGCAGGGCCGGAGGGAGCTTTGGCTTTTCTGGTGGGGGGATGACCCTAACTTTGCAGATCTTATCCACCATGAGCTTGCAGGTGAGGCATTACCTATATGAAAAGCACATGTGCATATAATCAATCTTTCTTGTGATGATTCAACACCTTTAGGTTAATTGTTTAGATTAGTTAGTAAAACATCAACTGAAGTGTTTTGGACAATCAGTAGTGCAGTAAAAGTGATAAAGTAAACTCTTACAGCTAGAATAGTTATTTTAGTCACAGGTAATTTACTTTGCTGCAACATGATAAATGTTAAATATCAAAGCAACCACACTGATTTCAATGACTGAAAGATAAAATGGGAGATAAAATACTTAAAATATAATCCTTTGTAAGTCAGAGAAAATGAGCGCCTACTTCACTGATGCACATTTTTGTTGCTCTAACCGAGGTTATGTTTCGAAAACAGCCATGAGTGGTAAACATAATGAAAATGTAAATGACTCGATGATCGCTGAACTAAAAGATGTCACTGCTGTGAAAAAAGATGATGACAAAGATGATTCTATTATTCCTGACTGTCACAGGAACAAAACATATACGTGAGAAAATCAGTGTAATGGAATACAGACAGGTCAGTTAGCCAGAAAGGCTGGTAGATCCAACACTTGAAGGGAAACGCCCTCTTCCTGGAGACACTGGGCATTTTCGTTTTACTGGGTGTGAGTCCAGTGACTGTCACCATGTAACATCTACAGCTGATGAGAAACTTGGAGATTTAAAGCTTAAGCCACATGAATAAAGGATCAACAAGAAGTGAAATAAAGTATCAGAAATTGAGTTGAGCCTCAAAATAGCTCGAACCCCACCCCGGCTCCAGGGCAACCGAGCAGAACAAAAAGTTAAATGAATATGCTTTTCTCCCTTCAGTAATAATGACATTTGTGATTGACAGTTGAGGAAAAGCTATTTTTATTAATACATTTCATGTATAGCTGGAGCCTTGGTGTCTGTGCCAAGCACATCCCGCCTGCACAGACCGTTATTATGGTCTAGGGGAGAAAAGGGAGCTAAAAGCTATTTTGGGCTACCTGTTCAGGCCTAATGGGTTTTAGTAATAACCTAATAATAAGTGTCTGGTTCTGGGCACTTAACAGAGAATGCTGCATTTTGAGAACAAGGTGGAATAAAGAAGTTAATTTAGAAGTTGTTTTGCACACCGTAGTTTGTTTTGCCCTTAATAATATGTATCATATTAAGTGCTGTTGCAGCAGCTGTAGCTGTCTGGTCTTTTTATGGCTTTGTGTTTGGAGACATCCTTTCAGTCTGGACTCGCTCTTACCACTGTATCTTCCACAGTCACCTTTGGTTCTGATAGCCTTCACAACAAATAATTTTGATAGGTCATTAAGTCAGTTTGACAAGCTTTTCCATTTTGCTCAATTTTGTAGATGTCATTCTATATATGTGAATTTCCCCTTACATCCCCTAAATATTCATTTGTATCTATCTGTAGTTTGGTCATTAACCTTTTACAGCAGCCTTAATTTAAATATTTATTAAAACCTTTTATAATTATTACAAATAATTATACAATTATTGCAACTTCAAGAGTAGCACGTGTAGTAATCATGCACTGCTACAAATTTCATAAAAGTACCTAGCTACTGTATGTTCACTTAAGGCTAAACACATTTTTTTTTCTATTTCATATAAAAACAAATGTGCCAATGACCCTGAGGGATCTTTGGGTTGGTACTATCTTTGTAGTGAGAGACTCCTGCCTTCTGTAGCTGTGGACCTGCTTCGGTGAAATAAGGCCCAGCTTTATTTCTTCCCTTATCTTGCGTTACACTTGATCAACAGCTGCTGAACTGTCTCCGCTCGATGGCTTGTCCCGTTACCGATAGCTGAGACAGGGATGAAACAATGTTTGCGTCATTGCCTATACTATAGGTTAAAACGGTTTCTGCGGTCTTGGATAAGCAGATGGAGCCAAACTGCTCTGTCAGTGCTTTGTAGCCCTTAAGGTAGGACAATTAACTTGCATAGTTTCACATTTGCTCCGTGGGTAATGAAAAATAAATCTACAAATAACAGGTAACGTTGGCAGGTAGGAGGATGTGAGGACCGACCCAGCTGGAATGTCAGTGATTGGATGCTTTTGAACCACTACTGCATATTTGCCATTGTAATGATGTAGTTTTAGGCCTCTGGTCTTAGTCTGTGATTAAAAAACGTTTTTTAAAGATAGCATAGACGATGGAAGAGGGGTCAGTGCTCTTGCCTTGCAAGATGCTTGTGTGATCCTCGTGTTAACTGATGGTATTTCAGTATTTTCTCAGTGTGGATTCTTCTCAGGGTTCAAACACACAGTTTAGATTAGTCGGCTTTATTATGCTTTATGTGGTACTCAATGCTTGAGGTTCAAACTGGTTTTAATGGTCAGTCACTTGACTGATATTTATCAACCTCAACCTAACCAATGTCACGACCAATGTGAGGATATGATAAAGAGAGTTTTGTAACTTGAATACTTTTATACTTGTATTTGGTGTTCCAGTTATGAGTGACAAGGTCTATCTGAAGTTTGTCATTCATTATCCAGTTTTGCCCACAAAACATTTTCTCTGTGGTCTTAAGAGCTTGCACATTCATCTTCATCAGGTGGTGGGAGAGATCTATTGAGATGATAATGATGGGCAAAAGTGTGGGGGAAGGGAGAAGGGGTCACTTAAAATCTCCCCCTGTTCCACGACTAAGGATGGCCAGTGACTAAAGGGAGAATAGTTAATCTAACAACCGTTGTTGGGAACCTCAAATATCTTTGTTTTGTGGGTTTGGGGGAATTTTTAAACATTTTCACAAGGAGAGTTGTGTTCAAAGAACTGGAATCTAAAGGAGAAAGTGTGCCCAAAGGAAGAAAAATGTGTCAGAAATACTTTGTCTAGTAATGGCATTTTAAGTAACTGATAGAGAACATTCCACACCGTCTTTGGCAGGGAATATTTTAGTAACTTTCCAAAGTTTATTTGCTTCTTGGAATGGTCACTCATGGAGAAGAAATTTTAATGTCAACAAGGCCTTTCATCTGATCGAATAAAGGATATCTATTGGCTGTTTGTGTCCAGAAACTTTGGCTTTGCTGCAATGTAAAAAAATCCATTAATCATTTTAATGCGTTGGTTGTGCTGCAAAGTAGATTTGATTAATTTCCTGGCATTTGAACCAAGACCATTAAGTGCAATTCTTTTGTTGTATTTTTACTAAACGTAAATGAAATCTATCCAAAAATATGTACTTTAAAAGAAAAAAATATTATAAAAACAATGAAAAATGCTTACAGGTTAAGACTGTATTTTTAAGCCTGCTTTTGCTTCAAATTCAGAGATAATAATAAAGTAGTTCCTCTGAGTTGTAACCGGAGGAATGAAATGCCAGTCACAGTGCTTTATTCTCACAATGATCCAAGTTTCTTACCTAAAAGTGCTCCCATCAAGGATACAGCAAAGAGTCGCCCCTCAGTCTTTAAGCCTCTAAATGTTACTGTGTTGGACAGCCTTTCAAAATAAAAAACAGAAAACGGGGTAGAAACATATTGTAAATGCAATTTAAATGCATTGATTGTAAAATTTTGCGACATCTTGGGGTTTGGTCTTGTGATTACAAAGACTGATTAGATGTACTATGTCATCCTTTCTTGTCTTCAAAGATGTAGACAGTTTTACATTTTGATCAAACAACAGGGGCTCTTTACCCCTAATTTGATTTAAATAAAATGCCTTTTTGAGATAAAGGCACAAATGATACCTTTATCTGAGTGTACTCTATCAGCAAAATATTTTTTTTATTTTTGGAATTCCGTCTTACACAGTTCGCCTCCAACTGGCTCATACAGAAGGAAATCGTGCAGTGGTGCAGTTCACTATGGTTTTCTCAGCTGAATCTCGGTCAGGCGTGTGTTCTTAGTGTAATATTATCTCTGTCCACCAACGTTTTGTTTTTTTGCACTTCCAATTCAGTTAAAGTTAATTTTGGAATGCACCTAGGGTTTACACGATTGGATTTGTGCATTAAAGATAATTACTGACAGAGTGTCTTTAAACACCCATGCCTGATGCAGAAATATGAAGAGATAAGCTGGGACAATAACCTGAGTGGAAACAGCTGACGATGTCAATGCTTTGTAGTTTGGGATCAATTTTCCAGGGCTAATCTCCTGCCTGTGAAGCACCCTCCGTCTTCCTCTTTAACATGCGCTCTATCTTCACCGCTCACACAGTGCGAAAAAAGAAAAAAGCTTAGCCGTGCGTGCAGCTCTGAAACTTAGGTGCCATCTTCCTCGCTCCTCACTCTTCCTCTCATTTTTTCTCTTCCTAAATGTTCATTAATTAGTAATAGAACCGACAGAGCACTGCAGGTTCTCCCTCTCCCTCCTTTCAGATAAGAGGGAAAGTGGAAGAGAGGAGAGAACCTTCTGGATCTGCTTGGAGAATCCCCTTGAGTGCAGTCGATCACAAAGCATTAATCCTGCTGTTTAATGACCGACTGCTGCTCTAATTGCCTACACAGGGAGGGTTGGTGTGGTGGGTGGTGGGTGCCTTTTTTTTAACGAGTACATTTGTGGTGTTTCCATGTACATGTGCATATTCAAAGATTGGTGATTCTAGCTGTTTAACATCCAGGTACTGGAGAATGGGGGGCAGTGGGCTTAGTGTGCATTAACATCAAAAGTGTTTCCTTGTGAGAGCTATATGGGAGTAGTTAATGGAACTGCTGTGCATCCACTAAAGAGCTCTTATAAAGGTCAGCTCTTCTGGGCTGGCTACACATGGGGCAGATGCACGAGGGTGTCTTAACCAACAGCTTAGCACATAAATCTTTGTCTAAATGAAGGCGCTGATTCTTTTGTCCCATAGCCATCTTGCGTACATATACTGTGTACCCAGTGGTACATGAATTCTTGTTATTTATTGGCTTCGCATAATAAACGTGAACATCTGGTGAAGTGAAAGGGCACAGACAGTTTAACATTAAGAGTATGCATTTATATTCAGTGTGAAATTGTTCCAGAAAAATAAACGAATCTTTCGGTCGACCTGAAAGACAAACTGGTATGCGTGGTGTTAGAACATTTTTAGTTTGAGATTCTGAATTCTGTTAAAGAGATGTTAAGTTGTGATTTCACAACTGACTAATATAAATAAAAAGGTCAGGATCAAGTGTCCAGTAATTGATTTAGTCTGTTATTGTATGGTGGTTTTCTGCCACTTGACAATTGTTAGTTCCAGATAAGAACAGCTGTGGCCTGGGCTTGAACTATACACAGATGAGGTTGTCAGGAGGAGTTGATGTTGTTATAGAACATCTAGAGGAAAAAGCTGAGGATAAATAAGTGATGACTTGCTACGGGACAGGTGCGACTGTGGCAAAGGGAAGCAGACGAAAGTGCAGTTCTTGTGTGTTATGAGTGTGAGAGTGTGGAGGGGAAAATGAACTGCTACTCACTCACTCACTCACAGAAAGGCTGAAACAGGATTCTAGGTTACATCTATGAATGGCAGTGATTTGACTTCTCTTCTCAAGTCTTTCCTAAGATTCTAACTTTTTTTTCCACTGATCATGTTGTTCAGAACACAAGCTTCACTTAATACAAATTCGTCAGTGCCCACCTGTGGTGCATTTTGTGTTTACGAGTTGCCAGTTTGTTTGCCAAGCCTTTGTACTCATTGGAAAAACATAATTGAGCAGACAGACACTTGTGTAAACACCTTTAATTATTTCATTCTGCAGTTTCAGTTTTATAAGAAATTGCTGACTTTCTTCCCAGCTGTGTTTTTTTCATCCTCTTCATCCTCTTTATCTTATACTTCAATATCGGCATCCAGCTGATATATTGACCAACCACCAATTCCCTGACAATCAGCCAAAGTTGTATTTCCTGGGTTGGTTTTAAAGGCTTACCAACCTCGGAGTGATTTATGTTAAAGCTGTGGTCTTTTAGCTGGAATTGATGTGGCTGGAGTATTCCTTTTACCTTTTATTTTTTTAGCCACGCATGAAACAAATATGCCCTTAACTTAAATTTGAAAAGAACATAAAAGCAATAAACTATACCTGGGGAAAAACCCTGGAACCCCCCAAATTGGCACCAAGCCGTTGGTTTCTGTGTCGTCCAAAAGGGGAAATCCATGCCAACATATGATCTATATTTAAAATATTGTAACCTATTTTCACATTCTAAAAGCAAGCCAGCGTTTCATTTCATTAAATAGGGTTTGATTTATTTGCCTATGGGTGGGATTATGCTTAGCTGGCACATGTTGACACAAACAGTAGACTACACCCACTATTTATTTTGTCCATTCCCAGGCAGAGACTGCAGAGTAAAGATGTTTGCTGTAGACTCTAAAGTAAAATACCCTAGGAAGTGTTTGATATGGCCAGTGGCTGTTAATAAGATTACACCAGCATTCAATACAGAGCAGAATGCGATTTTTTTCTCTCTCGGTGTAACAGATTCATTCTGAACAGCCTGATATTGCTTGGTATGCTACTTGTTTTGATGTGGTGTGTGATATAATTTACTAGGAACTATCTGCTGATTTCCAGGGGAGTCCCTTGCACTTGGAGAAATGATGTGTGTCAAATATCACCGGTATTAGAGTTGCTGGCTGTTAGATAAGCCTTGCTCTTTTGAACAACTCACTCCATCAAGAAAGAAATAATTTATCAAGATTTTTTTTTTTTAGTTGCAGTGTGTTTCAACTTTTCCTCTCAATTTTTGTGTTGACTTTTTGATTATTTTGACTTTTTTCTCCGTTGATGTGTTTAGTGATAGTGTTATAAGAGTGTAACAGATATTGTGAACATCTTTTATCTGATCCTTTACGATATAGGATAAATAATGTTGCTGGACGATCAAAAAGTTAACATTGATAAGACGATGTAATGTCACTGTAAATTGGATCCAACATCCCATCTTTTAAACCAAACAGATGTGTTCTGATTACTCCACTTTTTGATGAAGTGTAAAGACGCTTTGCTCCAGCTCATGCACAACTCTGCAATTTTTTTCAAATGTCATATAAAAACTCCCTCATCTCATATACATTTGTCTGTTTCCAGTGGAGGACGATGGCCTGTGGGAGAATGGGCTTTCCTACGAGTGTCGCACACTGTTGTTCAAAGCAATCCACAATTTACTGGAGCGATGCCTAATGAATCGCAGCTTTGTTCGCATTGGCAAGTGGTTCGTCAAACCCTACGAGAAGGACGAGAAACCCATCAACAAAAGGTACGACGGCCCCACCTGTCATTGCTAAATCATGTCTAAGTTGCCTCTCATTTGTAGCAGTGGCCCGTACTCGCCACTGCACAATGGCAGTGTTCTGGTGTCATCGGTGTTGCTTTTGTTGACATGCTGTTTTGTTTTGCTGATGTCTGTGACCACGGTCTGATGCTGCTCCTACAGACACAGGGATATAGTTTTTATATGTTGTTCAGTGTGTAACACTTTAACACACTCAGGGTCATGTGTATTTCCACTTGGCACAACTGCACGTTCGTAAGGTTTGCTTTAACTGAGTCGTTTTTGTTGTAACAGCAAAATCCCCTTTTTTACCGTATATTTAGAGTAGTTTATGAGAATGTCCAATGCAATAGTTTTTAATTGCATTTGTTCTTGTTTCATGTCAGTCTGTATTTTAGTCTACACTAATAAACTGACCGCAACAGTCAACGGCATTTTTTTCAAATCAGATTTTGGGAGCGGGGTATGCGCTAAAAGGAAAACCCAGTGCAGCTTGTGTACGTTTTTAAACAGAAATGGGCCAGAGCATGTAGCCCAGAATAGCTGTGTAGAGGTGTTTACCTGCAAAATGTTGCTGATAGATAAACCGCCTCTGTTGTTTGATTTCATACCCTACAGTTATTTTGCAGGAAAACTGAGAACCACAATTTTGGCTTGTGTTGCACAGAGACTAACAAAAGACACAAAGGGCTGTAGAAGGATCTAGCTTTGTGTATACACATGATTTCCGATACATCGAATATCTGCAATTGTTTGCATCTAGATCTTGTGGATTGCCACAGGCATCCCCACCATGTTCTGATAGGAGAGTTATATATAATAGAGTACTGAGAAATGAAAAAAAAAACGTCAGAGAGAGGTGAAGTGAAAGAGGTGTAGGTGTTTTCTCGCTCTCGAAGTGCATTTATGTACGACTAAGACATCCACGTCCTCCATCTCCTGATCTGCTTAGCTGGATTTCTTAGTGTCTGCCTTTTATTGATAAGAAATGTGTGTAGAGGGAATTACATGCTGTGGATGTTTGACAGTTCGAATTGAACTAAATGTCAGTTCTGTTGAGTTACACTTGTGATTTGAGGTGTGACAGATTTAATGTCATGGGTATGTCTAACAACTGTGGATCACTTTCATATGAGACGACAGTCAGAAAAATGTTATCATTCAGGTTACAGCCACCAAGGTGGTGTGTGATTTTATCAGTGACTTTGTGATTTGGTGGTCTATTATAAAGTTGTCGTTGCTAGTTGCTTTTACAGTCAAAATGTGACAGCTGCGGCCCAAACAGTGACATAATCACGTGGGCTGAGTGTCTGTATAACTTTCTTTTTGTGTTGTGCAGATTAAAATGGCTAGAAAGAGAGACGGCGCATATGTTTACATATGCAATATACTGTATATAATTTTTCCACCAACAGCTTCTCTCAAATTACATTGTCGTTAACCTAAGACAATGCGTAGACAAATAGATTAAATATTGTAGAAAAAGTTATTTTTAAGGTTATGTATGTTGTCTTAATTTGCTTTATTGCCTCTTTGCCCAGTATGTTTACCACAGATGGCCCCTCCGAAGGCGGAAAAACAATGTATTTTCCTTTGGTATGCAGTCCACAGGCCACCTGCTGTCTGTGTGCCTTTTCCTCTCTCTTACATTTCTCCCTGTGTGTCTCCCTCTTTCTCTCTCTCCCTCCTGCCCCCACCCTCTCTGCTGCTGTCACAGAACAGACTGGGCAGGTTATAAATAGTGGTGCAACCACCCTGAATCTTAGTTGTCGTCAAGGATGTTTTCGTCTCTCTTTTGCTGTGTTCACCGTGCCCCTTTACAAGAGACATTTTTTCCCCCAAACAAAACATCTCAAAACTATTATCGGAACAATGTTTGACTTTTTCAGTTTCTACTGCTGTCAGACCAGCCAACTTACCTGTAATTTGTTTGGTTTTCACTGACATAGTTACTTGTAATTTATTAAAGTGCTGTAGCATAAACGTAAGCAGTGTCCCAGCGGGGGGTGGACGGGACAGAATGCCTCCCCAGAGAGAATTCATTCCTGTGGGTGGAATAATGATGGTTTTTATGGTTGTACTGGCAACTTACCATCGTGCAATGCTATGCCACAGGGAGAGGTGTGAAAAAGATCCAGGGAATTCCCGCTCTCATTGTCTAGTGAAGTCTGTAGCTAATGGTGCATTGTTTTGTTGCCTTTTTGGGTTTTTTCCCTTCTCTTCTTTAAATACTGGGTTTGATAAGACTTGACTGCTCATCTGAAAACTCAGATAGGTTAGTAGTTGAGACAGAAAATTCATATTGAATTAATTTTCAAATTGATTATTTATTATATTTTAGAAATTGTATTGAATGTTAAACTGACAAAAAATAAATAAAACAAAGTGAAAAAATAACATATAGTATACGTGTGGTCTGGGCTGACTAAAAGAGATTATAGATGGTGAAAAACAGTTTATTATAATGACTTTTATTTTTTATGGTGTAAAGACCCAGTTGCGGGCCAAAATGAGAACAAGACAATTAATTGGAAACACAGAGCAGTTTGTTTACATGGTGTGGCTCAAGAGATGAGCGTAGACTCGAGAAAGTATCTCCCGAAAATGTAAAATAAACACCTACATTCTCTGCTTCAATAGTATTAAATAGTATTGCAGTCCTCAGTGCAAAAAACAAGTTTTGTCCAAGACTCAGCTAAGCTAACTGCTGAATTTGCTCTCCTGCTTTTAGATTTTCATCTTAGTGCTGCATACTCGAAATTGCATTACTCCCACCTACTGCTACGCTATTTGTTGCTATTCAGGAGAGTCCCAATAATTGGCAGGAGAAAGCGAAACAAGGAAAAACAGGATGTATTCTCTGTGTCAAACATAGTACTTTATTTACCATGGAATTCACCAGGGAATTAAATCTCGAATTTCTACAGTTATTGTTTTAGGAAATTCTTACTTCTGGTTTTGTAGATCTGCGTTAAATAATTCTATTCTCTCAGTCTTACAAAAAGTTCCAGTAAATCCTTAAGTGGAAGATTAGAATAAAAAAGTTGCAGAACAGCTGGAAAATATTGTATATTAAGTCATACATTTTTCAGATTTGTTGTGAAAATATGCTTTTGTTGATGTAATATCTGTATCATGTTAGTATATATATTTTTCCTTTCCCTTCACTAAAGGCAGACTATTGTTTTGAAAATGACCATCTTTAATGTCATTGGAACCTCTATCAGATCGCTGTCTTAAGGGATTGTATCCTGAAGGTTTTTTCTTTCATTCCTTAGTACGGATAGGTTCAGAGAAAATATTTTAATTTTAATAATTACTGCACTATTAATTCCATGTTGTTTAAATTAAAATTTCTAAAGTTATTTATGTTTTTTTGCAAAGGGCTAAGAAGCTGCACAGATGCAGAGGGGAACAGTGGATATTCTCTCTAATCAACTGATAAATAACTGTGTAGAATCTCCATTCTCCAGTTCCTAGAGGCTGTTGCTAGCTCACAGTGTTTAAAAACCTCAGACCTCAGTCTGTGTTGAAATGCTTACATCATCTCCCTCCTCCCTCCTGTCTCATTTTAGCACCATGTCTGTGGTAAGCAGTAGGCAGCAAACAGTCTCTTAAATAATGATAAGGTGTTTCGGTGCCTCCCGTTGCTCACAACACCTCCACTCCATAACAAACAGTCACAAATGCTGTGTTTTTTAATTTGAAGATCTTGCTTTATGAATCTTTAAACAATGCAAACGTTTGAAGCAGAAAATTGCACTTGAGTATTTGAAAAATCCTTTAATGTAATTTCTCAAACTAACAAGGGTTCCTTGATTGATGAAAAGGTTGAGTTTTCAAGGCGATTCACAAATGACTCCATTTGTGTTGAATCAGTTAAAAGGAGTCGTCTTTGGGGAGCTGGTGGCTGCACGTTGCACTGCCTGACTGTCTGTGGGAACCTTCTACTGTTAGGTAGGTAGAATGCTTCAGGAAGCAGGGACGGAGAGACAAAGACATAGTGTGAGAGAGAAAACACAAGGCAGGGCGGGAGGTAGCAAGGGGTCTAGCAAGGCAGCGCTCTTCTTGGTTGTCATGGCAGCAAGGAAATGCACCCTGGGATTGTGTGTTTCCAAGGTGAAGAAGGATGCTTGTACTCAATTGGTCAGTTAACTAGATGGGCCACCTCTAATTGGCCTCGTTGACGAAATTTAGAGCAACTTTTTGATGTTTCAGTTTTTGCAGGACAAAGAGGAAATCATTTCTTTCATCTGCTCCTAGTGTTTGACGTTGATATATCAGGGTCAACAATGACCTTCAGTTGTTTTGTTTTTTTAAAGAGGGAATAAAAACAGTTCTTCTGTATACAGAATATATATATTTTTTATTTATTTATTTACAAGCACACATGACACCGATGCCTAAAAAGCAACTTTTTTGACGCTTTTTTTTCCTGCATGACTGTACATTGTCCAGCAGAGCACATTCTTTCTCCTTTGTTTCAGCCTGACATCAGAAGGTTAATGTGTGAGCCCTGGTGCTCTGTGGCAGGCAGGAGCAGAGTGCAGCTCTCTGTTAAGTAGGACAGTGCAGGATAAAGGGCCACTGCTTCTAGTCAGGGGCTAAAGCGCTAAATTTATCCCCTCAGTGCACTCAGCGCAACTCAAAAGACAAGTACATCCACACATTTGTCATCAATTGTCACGTAACCCAATCCACCCAGGGCAGTGAGAGAGGTGGCGCACTGTATTTCCAGTCATGAAGTAAGACATTTAGAATTTTGGCCCAGACTGAGCTGCAAATGTGGCATGTAGTGTGTGTGTATAGAACAGAAGGAACACAACATCCAATACCACATTCTTCAAACATGATCCCCACTCCCCAGTAATTCATCACTCCCCATAGCAACAAAAAGTCTAGAGTCTTGGCTGTAAACCAGCTCCAGGGATACTAAAGCTGAATATGAAATTTAAAGGTAACCAGGACAGCAGGATATTATCCGC